ATATATACAAAAGAATACATTAAACGTCATACTTCCATAATGTGAAGTTACATTTTCTGATTGCATTCAGAACTAAAATAAATCTGATTTTATTCATGAGGTACAGTGGGCAAGTACCATTTAAATGGAACTAAGCCAAATGTAGGTTTGTTAAAACCATGCCTAATTAGTGATTACTGACTAGTGATTAATATTATCTAATATCATTAGTGACCTCAGCAACTTCAAAGTCAATATGAAAGCGCATTCACAACCCATTTTATATGCAACAAGAAAATATTCAATATTCAACAAGAAAATTCAAATAATTTGTTTCAATTCAGGGCAAAACAATTTATGACTGCAAAGAAGAATACGAATTAATTGTTTAAAATATAACCACGATGTGTATTAAGAAAGTAAATATGGTCAAATAATAATGTTGTTTTTTTATCATGTATAATGTATTATAATATTGTTTATACATACACATTCAAATGTACTTTATTTATATCTGCTTCAGCCTGAATGGAGAGAGCATCTTGAATAGAAACACATCATGGTACAAGAAAAACAAACAGGCCAGACAAACATTCATCTTAAACATGCAGTCTAAGCGGTGGCCATCACCTTGGTTACCACGTCCCAGAGCAAAGAAACCCTTCTGAGAGCAAACATTAAGGTCATTCTGCTTTTGAACGCTGTGTGTATTTATCACGAGCATCCTTGACGGCTCAGCACTGTAATAAGACAACATTCCCAGCATACCATCTGCAGTTGTGTCCTAATGAAGGGGGTGGGCCATATGCCAACCTCACGCTCTGGTTTCAGTACGCAGTCTGCGCATGTGTGCTAGAGGGCTGTGTGACTGCAGTCTGAGCTCTACTTCCTGTGAAACTCCCTGTATGCTCTGGCTTTTCTCTCAGGTGACCTTGTAAGTAAGCCCTACGGACCCTATTAAAAGATGAATGTGTTAATGCTCTGGAACCTAGCAGCGTTTCTGAAATGGTTTCTGACTGTCCCGAAATCCAAGTAAAACATGTCAACACACCAGACTATTAAACCTTTCGGCAAAATAAGATTAGAAAGGAATGTCCAATGCATCATCATTCATGAGATTTGTAAAGTCAGAAAGTTACAACTGGGTAAAATATTGATTTTCCAATTAATCACAATCTTCAATTTATTATGATTTTAATTCATTCTTCAAAATACCAATGTTTACTGTACAGTGGCAATCAAATAACTCTTATGAACCAGTTCATTTAAATTAATAAAAATAAACACACAAGGCAAGAAGTGCAGTCTAAAGGCGGGCGTACACGGTGCGATTCTGAAGCTCAGAACGTCGTGAGCTCTGGCACATGTCACGATTGAGTTTATCCGAAAAGGATAACACGAGGCAGTCACACACGACACGAATTTACTACGATTTTACCGTCTCGGATCGGCCCGTAATTCTTCTCACACAGTACGAGCCGCGACCATGCGAGCATCTGCGATTTTCTCCCGAGAGAAAAAAATCGCCTGCGAGCTCGTACGACAGCAAAAATCGCACCGTGTACTTAACTGACGCCTTAACTGAACAGCAGAGTATGTTCAAAATCAGAACAGAAATAAAAGCTTGTGAAATATAAGAATTGGGAAATGTGCATTGATACCCTGCTCTAGTTAAAACCAATACAGGTTTAAAGTTACATTAAAAACCAAATGTACTTTTACATTTAAACATCTTAAAAAAATTTATTTACATCTTTCCTTAGATTTAAAACCCCTAGACGTGAAGCTTATCATTGACATGCTGTCAGTCCAATTTAAAAGGTTACATAGGTCCACATTCTTTCCTAATGCATCTTAAGAATTAGCACACCACCATTTCTGTGCTCAACCGACTAGTTACCTTGTTCAGAACGGCTCGGTGAATCACATTTCAATGAGCACAATGTTCCCTCTAAGCTGCGCGTGTGCGCAGCTGAGCACTTCTTACGCCGTGACCACGCAGAAGAAATTCTGCCGCACACAGGACAGATGCAGAAATGAGTAGAGAAAGCCATTTGATTTGGTTTCTAGTAAATGCGAAATAAGTGCAATGCTCAGGAAAACCGCTATAGAGTTGGTGGCGCTATAGAGTCAGAACCGGTGAATGCAGTTTACAGGTTTCATAGAAAGAATGATGTGTGCCAAATGAATACTTTAATGGTAGCGAACGAAATAGCTCAACACGAGAGCCAACGCAAGCGCAATGACAAAGTCTTGATTTTGTTTTGGGGGTGTACTAGAACAGGCTCTCATACTAGGTTGTTCGAAAAACACATTATTTTTCACATATTTTACATTATTACAACACCTCTCTCCCCAGTCTGGCATGAACGACTCGAATAGTTCCTGTATCAAATGAAGGCTCGCCTTCTGAAATACGAAATGTGCTGTAATTGGTTACAGGGCCAGTGTCTGTTGTGATTGGCAGCACTCTGTGCCTGGTCGGGAAATGTCACGCCCCTTACTATAACCACCTGCGAGCTTCAGTGTAAATATTGCGTCAAAATCAAATCAATTTGAGCGCAATTTAAACCCGGATGATTGTAAACACTCTAAGTTCGTCTGCCTTGGGAAAGCTATTGTGTCTCCGACATAGTGATAACACTCGTTGCCTTCTCTTTCCCGCTCAGATCCCGCTCCGTTCTGTAAAGAACAAATTTGCGTGCATTATATTAGATTATAAATTACTGTTGCCAATATATAGCCTACATTCTGTAGGTCTACCTATTGGTTCGGGGCAGTTTTTTTTTTTTTTTTAAATAATATTTTAATAGGCCTATGTGGTGTAGGCTAATATCTTCTGTACTCTGTAGTTCTGTATTTAGGCCTATATACAGCTGCGTGTTAGCTTAGGTCGACAGTTTAACTGAGATTATTTAATAACTACGGAGCTCCGAATATAATTCGAATTAACAATTCGTTTCTACAACGTCAGCAGGTTTTATTACTTTTTTTATTAATTTATTATTTTTTTTTAATTTTAAGCAATAATGATTTTAATAAGTAATTCCGAAATATAATAATTCGTTCCACGATTTAGGCCTACTAAAACTAGGGAACGAACGAATGAATTCGAGGCAGCTAAGCCTAAACAAGAGAACGAATACTTAATTCGTGGCCATAATTTAGACTAAACGAAAAAATTAATTCTTAATTCGTGGCCATAATGTCGTCCTAGCATAAAAGGGAACTAGCCTATTCTAAATTCGTGGCCGTGAATTTGTCTGCATGTCATGATCGTGGCTCCGTACAACCGAATATAACCTTAGCCTACCTGTTTATTCATTTATTATGGTATGTAACTAGCTCACCTTTTGCTGCACCATTTTTGCGTAGCACATCCTCGTGCTCTCTGGCAATGTGCCGCTTCAGATTCCAATATGAATCTTTACTAACTTTAACAGTCTCCCCGCACTCCCCCTCAGTTTCTTATCCCTGCTCATTCTTAACTTAGATTTTTACTTTACATTTATGTATAAGGCTTGCAACTTCGTTGCAACAATATCTGAACTCCATAACTGCTCTACTATTCTCGATCTCTACAGATTCTCGATCTCGAACAAGCAAATCACCAAAGGGCATTCTGGGTTGAGCGAGCGGAGCGGAATCTTCAGAAAGGCGCTCTGCGCTCTTAAGGAAATATTACAACTCCGCTCCGCTCACATGCTCTGAATAGGACCCCTTTAAAGAAGAGTGGCTTGTTTAAGTGGTAGAAATAGCGGCTGATGGGCACAGAACAGTAACAAATCTCCGAGACATTTACAGTCACACACAGGTGTAGTAGTGAGCAAAATCTACTACATGGGGATGTTTAGATAACTATATAAGAATTCACATGTTCATGTTTTTTGAAAAAATATAGCTTACAGATCTCAGTTTAAATGCTTCAGTTTGTTTTTATATTATATTATAATTATATTATATTATAAACCTAATAAATAATTGACCTCAAAAAGGGAATTCATGAGCAATATCTGCTTAATTTTTACATATTATATTATTATTATAAAGAATTGAACTCTTCTGTGTTAGATTTTTTTTTTTTTAATGATTTTTAACAGAATTTCTTGGTAACACAGCACTGTAAAAAAATGTTTTCTCAGGTATCCTAAAATGTGCATCATTTAGTTACATCAAGGGTCAAATCAAATATAAATAGTACATTACAGTTAAAAGTTACACACTTTTTTTGTGTGCGCTGTACAGGTCTGGTATAGAATGTTTTTGCTCAGGTGGCCGAAATGTCCATCCAACAGACAAAAGTTTTGCTCAGCAAGAAAAACAAAATTAGAGGGAACATTGCTCACCGCTTGCAAATGGACATTACCAACCCATATGCTGCCCAAAAAACATCTGATACACTACACAGAGTTACACTCACAGTGCAAGTGAACTGATTTTTTCATGTTTATTTCCAACAAAGTGTCAAATAACATCATGATAATGGTGTGTAAAACTCTTCAAGTTCAAAAATTTGACTCAAAGTTTCCATGAATTCTTGATGTGTGGTCACACGTTCTTCTTCATTAGGCAGCAATAACGATAACACCCAAAACCGATAACATCAACTCATTTCCTTACACTGCCTCTCTCTTCCTCTACCACTGAACTAATGTAGAACTGATGAACAACAGACCTAAGCTGAAGACACTCGGTATCTTCAAACTCAGCACCTCAACACACTAAATTCCCTCAGGCAGAAATTCTCTCGCACGTTTCTAAAGGAAGGGGTTTCACACAGAGAGACTCTTCTTTCCTTCTTGTTTCAAACAGAACATCAATTCCAGTTCTATTCTTCCTTTTTGGTCACTCATGTTGCAGATTTCCAATAAATCATCAATATCTCACTCTGAACATCTCATACCCTAAAGCCAAAAGCATAAAATAAACTAGAGCCACCTTGTCTGGAGATACGTGACCAAATATGAGAAGCTTACAAAACAAACCAAGTATGAGAGCCATAGAGACAAGTATATACTTACTGGTGGAGTTCCCTTGCATCTGTATAATGCATTTTGATTCTTTGCTGGTCTCTCTTGAGTTGAAGGGCCGCACTCTGACAGCCACTTTCACGGAGGCGCCAGACATGGTTGAAGCTGTTGTGATTCAATCCCACAGAATGTTCTCCTACAAAAAGAAACAGAATGTGTTTCTATTCCAGTGCCCCAAATATTAGGCTAAAGGTACAAGAACACATTTGACAGAAGTTACCCAGAAACATCTCATCAGATTCCATTGCGTAAACTAGACCTCCAAAGAGATCTGAATGCACCATAACATCATTTATGCAATGACGCTAGAGGTTATGTGGCATTTGAGAAGATTTTCTTAAATTACAGCATGCCAAAAATAAACATAAAAGAAAAAGATGACACAGGGTTCCCACAGCTTTTTACCAATGATATTCCATGGCTACTACATCATAATCGATACATGAATGTCTGAGGCCTCTAAATTATCAACATGATCAAAACCAGTTGCCAAAATTTTCTACATGCCCTCTGCCCTCTGATTGATAGTACATACTTTTTTTTTTAGCAAGTATCAGTTATAATAATAAAACTCTACAAAAATGCCCACCTTTAGGTTGTGGTACACATCTTTCTCCTGCAAAATCTTTGTTAAAAATTATGAAATAAACTTAAGCATAACTTTTAAATATTAATTTTTCAAGATGAACAGGCTTTTGAGGGACGTTTAGGTGTACATCTCTCAATTATCATTGTATTGCATTGCATTATATGTTTTGCCCCCACAATAAAAACTAGAGGTTTAAACATAAAACTAAACATTTAAATGTCATCTTACTATTATTTGGAGATATAGAGTGACAATTGATATTTATATGCAATTTGTTTGTAAGTGGTCTGTTATACTGTCATAGAACTCTCATTTATTTACACAGCAAGATATCAGAATTTCATCTTACTTTTGGGCTTTATAAATACCATCTGCAACAAACTGCATCATTTGCTCAGTTTGGTCCACTGAATTAAATTTATGTGCTTTTTTCCTCCATGACTAGAGCTCCATGTTCTCACTATATAAGCCTGATGTATCAAATATGTTACAGAACAGAAAACAAACATATGCAAAAAAAAAATTTAGATATTCTTTTATATTTTGTCTAAAGGTTCAATAACCAGGCTATACAAATTCCAAATATTTTTTTAGTTTTCCATGATTGTAGGAATGATGATTACATAATAAAAATAATTAATCAGTAACATCAGTACAGTTAATATATTTGGGCAGGTGACATGACATTTCAAGCAGTTTCAGCAAAATGTTTTTTAGCAAAATCATGTACAATATAGAATATCCATACTATAAAAAATATTTCCATCAAAGGACCATTTAAAGTGGTATAACGGAATGTTTAACTAGTAAAAGTGAAAAAATGTGATTAAAAAGTCAAAGAAAGAAATGTTGTCACAGGACCAAGATATACACTTTCCCTATATGTAAATATTTAACCAATCTTAATATTTAATATAAAAATGTCCATGAGCTTGTCTGTTATATGTCAACAGCCCATTTACCATATGAAATGTCCGGTGGTCAAGAGCAATAGCATAATATGCAGGTAAATATCCAACACACAGTTACAGATTATCAGGAATATTAGATGGTTCCCTCACGGACTCATAAACATGGCTGCCGTTCGCCTGCAGCAGCAGCAGGGCTGGGCCTATTCACACGCTCACTACACTAGTAAACACATCTGACTAAATGACACCCGACCGTCATGTCATATCAAAACGCATGCATTGACACATTACGCCTGTCTGTTCCTGTTGAAATGTATGTATCACTTATGGGCGTGACATCTGTTATTAAGCATTGGTTTTATCGACCGGCTGTGGATTACAACGAATCTGACAATGCAGCAATTATTTTTGAAGTTCAAGTCTCTTGAGTATGACAGAACAATGAACAGTCCGCTATTCAATAACATGACACCAAAAAAAATGATGTTTTAATCCTTGCCCTTGTAGTCATTCACTGAATTAAAGGCATACGCCCATGAAATTCAATCTGCCGGAGAAAGCATAAGTATGCCTACTTCAGGAAGGAAAAAGAACACTTACTCTTCCATCTATTTTTATAGAAGCTAATGACACTAAAACAACAAAACGTTTATCTGTTTCAGTGTTTAATAAAGGAGACTAGATATTGACAACATATCCGGCGTTGCCATAGCTGTACGGTCATAATGGTCTGCTACAGAGATAAAACTAATCAAAACGTTTAATTAATATAAAAAGCACCATCTCAAGTGTTACAGTGTAATCTTATGATGTCGCCTCCTTTATTGATCTCACGAAACGATGTCCGATTTGAGAACAAATCGTTCTTTTGAATCGCTTCTGTACTGGGAACCGGTTCTCCAACCGGTATGAACGACTCTGTCACGAGTACAATCGGTCCGAGCGATTCTGGAGTCAAAAATCACGCACTGACTGAGTCAACCCAGAATGGTTTTTATTTAATTTAATCCGTAATCAGCCGAGAATGACGACTGAGATGACAGTACGAAAGTAAATCGAGTTCACAAACCACTGAATCGGTCTGAGCCGGTGCTGTTCAAAAGAACCGATTCGTGGAAATGTGCCGAACTTCCCATCACTAATTCGGACGTCTTTCTATGAACTCGGCGATTTTCTTTGCATAGTCCTCAAATGGTTTTGTCATTTTTAACATTTATTTTCAATTATCAATAAAAATAATAACATTAAGTGTATAATACCACAATTAAGGTTAAGGTCAGCTGCAAAAACAATCAAAACATTTCGGTAAACATCCATTCGCATTCCCAAACGCGACTCGAGAGATGTATGCTCAAACTCAAACGTACAAATATTACAATCATATTTCGGAAAAGACGGCACTTACTGCTATATATCCACAAGTAGAAACGACTAGAACAGCATAGAAATCCCGCACGATGCCAATTCTCCAACGACGTCTACAACCAGCAGCAAAAATCAAAAAAGATTGACGGTTAAGTTTCCAATAGTTCATTTTTTGTTATATACACCCATTATAGCTGCGTCTCATTCTCCAGCGCCGCGCAAGATGCTTGCGTTTCTGATATATTTAGTTAGGCTGCTGCTGGTGTCATTGGACCGTTCCTCTAGCAGGCTTAGGTATGGCTGAATGCCTTGATTTACTGAAATGATTACGTCAACTGCCTTGTCAACGTCGTGAATGACGGGCCGTCTGGCCAATAAGAATGAAGTATTGTGTGAGCGATGCGTCGTGT